AATATTAATTCTAGTCTAACAGCGCGAATTTTTATTTGAAATTTTTTTTGATTACTAATATAAATACTCCAATAATTGAATAATTAGTACAGCCAATCAGAAGTGGTGGGGAAATTAGTAAATCCGTGGTGGTGAGTTGTCTAACTGAATTTTAATTCGAGATTGTTGTGCTTACGTAATAACGTACACAAAATAACAAGAAGAAAAAATCTATGATCATAAGAGTTTGCACGATAACTCGAAATATTTGACAACAAATGACAAGTTATAAGTTGTTGTTTTTATATAAAAACAACTGCGAATAAACAAGTTATTTTGTCAAGTTCTTATCTTCATAGGAAAATTCTTTTTGAATGCAAATGAAGCGTCATATTTGGAATATTAAATTTACAACCAGATTCGAGTGAATTTTCTGGTTACATTAATAAGAAAACATATCTACTTTATGTATTAAAGAATTGAACAATATCAATCTTCTTTATTTGTCTTTTATGTTTTTTGCATAATTAGTACGAATAAACTTAATCATTCGATACATATTCTGCAACATATTACATAAATTTCACTGTATTGAAATTTTATTCTATACTAAACGAATAAAACCTTTTAACACTTCTACATATAGCATTAAAAATACTATATTCTAAGAAAAAAATAATAAGATTACGACGTGCTATCTTAAATCAAGAGAAAGATGTAGAACAAAAGAAGATGAAATCTTGGGGCGTTTTACATCTTATAAACGAATTAATGATCGACCAATTCGATATAATGATATATAATAATAATAATAATAATAAAAGAATGTAATTTATAGAAATAATAATAAAGTGAATTTAAACTTGACACGCATCAAGTATCAATAGTGACTAAGGGCAACAGTCGTTACATTAAGGATGTGTTATGTTTTAAACACATTAAGGATGTGCTATGTTATTAAACACATTCGCGGTGACATCACTTTTATTACAATTTCCTAAATTCCAATTTTTCTCAGTAGTAGCCATGATTGAATAATGAGTATAAGCGGTATTATCTTGATGAGTAGATGGTGGATGGACTGGAGTACCGTAAAGAACGGCGGCGACTTGATTTGTTGTTCCACTTACAGCTTCATCCCAAATAATGACAAATAATGTGTTCAAACTAAAGTTTGGATTATTCTTTCTCGCATCAAACCAGCCTTGGAACCAAGTCATTGCAGTGCCTAAGGAAGTATCATGCCCGTCGTCATTTTGATTTGGCACGTAATAAGCAAATTGTGGTACTGCATTATTACTTATGTCAATATCAAGTTGGGATGAATCTACTATTTTAGCGCAACGTGCAGAGTTTGAATTTATATCTTGCATAGTAATAAAAGGATTATGCTTTCTTGCATAAAGATCAGTGCCACTGGGGCAAAAATCACCAGTGTAACAAACGCCGCAGGCTACAGAATAATATAAATGTGATAAGAATTAAAAGTAAAAGAAAAGACATAAACATAATAATATTAATAAACTTACTATAGTTCTCGAAGTAACCCTTCCAACTGATCGATTTGGCCTCAAGAAGGTCAACAATATTACACCCTGTGAGATTATAATCTCCATCGTTTGTGATACCACCTGTTGAACCAAAGATTGAGGCAACATAATTGGGCTAATAGAATGAACAATTAATTATTGTTTATGTTTTAAATATGGAATTCATAAAGTTGAAAAAAGTAGTATACCTCAGATGGATGAGCAACTGCGCGATAGTTGGTAAGAAGAACACCTTCAGCACTATTATATAAGCTTGTCAAATAACTATTTTTTATCGCTTTAGAATAATCTTGGTTTTCGAACCAGATTACAAAGATGCGGTCAAAATAGGTTCCAGTCACAATAGCACCTGCGAACCCTGCGGAAAAGATGCTTAAAAGAGTGATGAAGATAATTAACCTCATGTTTATACGTATATGTAGGGGATCTATATGTAGGGGATGTAGGAATAATCGGGAGAATCACTTTGAGCAAGTGAAATTTATTGCCTTTTTATACAGTTGAAACTAATGAGTGTCGGCAAGAGAAAATTTATATTCTAAATATGGATTTTATGTTTAGGATGTACATTTTTACTTACTGACACTCAAATAAGATAAACAGTTTTTAAAAAATTCAATCTTATTAGGTTATACACGGAAAAGGTTTTCATATTTTGTCAACGAACACATATGTGCATCTATTTTTTTCTTTCAATTAAATTTAATCGATCCAATTAATTTTTAATTTTAATTTTTAATTTTCTAATTCTTTCACTTTGTAATTCTCGTTGACAGTTACGTACCTTTGGATCAAATTGCATAATTTTTAATTTTCTAATTCTTTCTCATTGATAGTTACGTACCTTTGGATCAAATTTCCTAATTTAGTATGTCAGCACTACATTACATGCACATTATGTTTGTATGCTTAAATTATCGTATAATTGTTAAATTTTAATTCATATGCATTGTGATTCTACGTAACAAGTATTTTACACGA